ACATCCTCCGCCGTGAGCTTTCGGCCACTATAGGATGGATACGAGCCACTATACGATGGATACGACATCTCCATTCCTCACAGTAAGCTCGCCCTCGAGCTTCGAGCATTATTCCATTGGTCTTGAAGAGGAACGTGCGAGTGTTCCGGAACAATGATACTCGAAACATAATTCCAGCGAACGGATGTAATATTCTCAAAGTACCATGCAATCAAGTTCGCTCGAAGTCATGTATGCCTTCCTTCATCCTCATACAGTCTGACAATATTACATCCGTTTCGCTGGAATTATGTTTCGAGTATCATTGTTCCGGAACACTCGCACGTTCCTCTTCAAGACCAATGGAATAATGCTCGAAGCTCGAGGGCGAGCTTACTGTGAGGAATGGAGATGTCGTATCCATCGTATAGTAGCCGAAAGCTCACGGCGGAGGATGTAGTCACGGCCAACTGCCCGGCCAAGTGTCGTGTAGACTCCTCCGCAGTCAGCATGATGCAACAGCATGGGCGAGTACAGTGCAGTTCTCAGCGGACGGTGGGGCGGTCCTAAGGCCACGCTGGCGAGCGGCCCGATAGTTGCCTTTCGGTGGATGGCCGCAAAAACCTTGCCTCTGCGTCTCTTACCTATTAATGCTGTGTAGCGGTATTAGAAGGTTATACAAACACCTGGGTTTATACATGTTTATTCATATATACACAAAAAATTTTAGAGCGGCATAAAGAGGAAAACCGAGAGAGCTAGCAGACAGACGACTGACTCTTCTTCCAGTTCCCATCCTTCGTCCATAGCCGCTGTATTGCCCGTCCTGGGTGGCCGGCAGGTGACACCCGCGCTGCATCAGGCAACCCCACGGGGACACGACACCCTTTTCCTTCTCCTCAACTACTGGGCCAGTAAGCATGTCTGGTTTACCAGAGCTCTGTAACATGCACACTTCCCCCCCCCCCCTCAAATATGGGCTACCCAAAATGAGCACCTCTTGCAAGAAATAGTCGTGAAGCGAGGTGTAATGTCCGTAACCTCGTCGTAATGCTTCTCGTTCCACGGCTGGTTGTAAGTGCTGTTAATTTAGTGTTGGAACGCGCTTGAAATAATCGCTGCAATGGTCTGTGAAATATTTGTATTTGAATCGTTATACTTCAGATTTCGAAAACTCGAGTTGCTTATCTGTCCCATAGTTAGCGTAGTAAGGGCTTTAAGCTCATCGTGTTGAAGCTGGCAGGGTTTGCTTGGAGAAGTTGTTCTAGCGGGCTGCGTATTACTTGCCTCTACTTCATTGCTACCATGTTATTATTACTTGCTCCAATGGTTATCATGTGTTTTTAGCGAAAGTCTGTCGTATTTCACAATTGTCAACTAACGCGCGTTTTTACTACCAACTCCGAACCTATCGGACCTTTCATTGAAGTCTTACAAACTGTAAAGTTGCAAAGTTGTAGAGATTTCTTTACAATGAGCCGGTCTCCTTCCACTCAAGCTCAAGCGGAAATCCTCATTCCTGGCTCATAACTATTTCTTAGCAACTTGCAACACTGAGCGTCCTCCAACATTGAGAAATTTTTGAAGAAACTGCGTGGAAATTACCCCTCTAATTCCTAATTACAAGAATTCAGGACTACACAGGACTACTAAATAGAGTTTGACGGTAGGTTTAATTTTTCTTACACGGATTGGCAGTATGCCGCAGATATTTTATTGGCGTTGGTTTTTTCTATAAATAAGGCTACAGTAGCTTATACTCTAGTTCGCTGCAGATGAAGGGGCGTGTCAGGCAGTATGAGTGTGCCACGGCGCCAAACCCGTTCTCTGCCAGTTGTTGAAGCGCGTATGGTAACAGTACGAGTGATACGAACGATATGATACAGTCTTGTCACCTGCTCGCTTCAATAAGTGGTGGAGAACGGGTTTGGCACCACGCCAAACTCATCCTGCCTGACACGCCCCTTCAGCTGCAGCGTTTAGGCTGAAAAGAAAAGGTTCAATGGCTACGAAAGATAGGGGCCAAGATCTTCTCAAAGCGCTACCGCATCCCATTTTCAACAACAGTTAGAACGTGTTAGCTTTTATGTAGGTGGCATACATGCTTGCTTCAGTGCTGGTTGTTCAGGCGCCTTTAAATGTCGAACAAACCTTTTCAAGTCTGGCCGTTTTCACTCTCTGTCTACAATTCATCTGTGAACGTTTTCGTATCGTGCGAAGTAAGGCTGCGTTCATACTTAACGTCGGCGTTTTGAGCCTTTCAGAGCGTCGGCAATGTTTCGAGCAACTAGGAAAGTATAGGTATCGGTCCAGCGTTTCGAGCATATGGCAGCATTCAGAGGGTTTCGCGGGTAGTTTTGAACTGTTCGCGGGCATTCGCTGAAAATGCAAGCGTACGTTCAAAACGTCAGATCAATATCTATATTTTCTCAGTCGCTCAAACCGCTGACGCAAAGTACGAACGTTGCTTATGTGTACTGTGAGCATCTAGTATTTTGTGGTTTTCAGAGTGGTGAATGTCCACTTCTCGTGGTAGTGCGCACAGATCTGACCTTCAAGATGTAACCGAATGCCCAATATGTTGTTTGCGATTTGAGCGGCCTCTTCAGCTCAGTTGTGGTCATTCTTTCTGTGGAAATTGTGTGGACAGATTGGTAAGTTGAACAAATTACTTTGATGGAGAAAGAAGGAGCGTTTATAGTTGGCCTGGAGAGCTTTAGACTGCATTCGTATCTCGTACTTGGCACTGGAGGTACACTTCACATCCTGGAGGTAGAGAAGGCGTGGCTGTGTACTCTGTTCGAACATGGCGGCGGCTGCGTTTTGGTGCGATATTGCCATTTGGAGACAACTGCAATTTTTTTGATTGTCCACTATAAAGGATGACAGTTGTCTCAAATGGAGGTATCCCAGGAAAAAGACATCCAGTGCCATGTTCATGTGAAATACCTGCCCTGACCTCCTCATCTCCGGGTTATGGAGCGCATTAGATTCAACAGAAGAAAAATCCGCGAAAATAACACCTTCAGCTCCGTCCTGCTGGAGAGTCAAGGATAATCGATACCTCTCTGGTCTCCGTAATTTCTCGGAAGTACTATCGAGTTGTGTTAATTTTTTTAGAATGCAACATCCCTCTTCATCTCTCCAACCTACAATCTTTCAATTGTTCCGACTTGGTACCACTTCTCCGAAAATCTAGTTTTTTCCCCTAAACAATTGCGTCGAGTGCGGTGGGGAATGCTCTGTCAGAAACATTAGTAATATGTTTACTCCCTTAGTAAGTCATTGGATAAAGTGAGTTGTGGTCCCTTTGCAAATAATCGAAAACCATCAAAAGATTCATAGAAAAACCAATACTTAAAAGTAATTTACGTATTAAGATTGCTGACGCTCGCAACGCTGCCAATCGAAATGACAATTTTCCGGAACCAATGCGAGGGATAGCAGCTCCTAACATAGAGCAAGGAATGAATCCGCCACAATTTGTATGTAATATTTATACCCAAATCGTAATGTTAGTGTGTTGCAGTTTTGAAGAAATGTTATTGTAGAATCGCATGGATCAAGAGATTTGGTGGCCGCTTAATAGGCCTCAGATGGTAGCGGCGCCGCCTCCGCCTCCGCCCGGATTAGGAGGGATTCCCCATCCGCCACGATATGTTCTTCGCAATTTCAACGACGAGGTAAGGCGGTTTTTACTTCCATAATTCGTAAGTTTGGTGTATTCGCGGAAATTTTACATATTCAAGGGCGCGTTCATATTTCGCGAATCCATCACATGAATCGCGCGGATCGGATCGCGAAGTATGAAAGCGATCAAGGTTAAGTACAAAGCGAGAAAGAACTAATAGTATGAAACAGAATTATATAAGTAAACATTACTCGCTCAAAAAAAGAAGACTATCCGTGAAGGATATCATACTTGCTTTTCCAGCTCGTTGATACTCTCTGCTACATACCTGTCAGTACTGTGCTGGGACTCCTATCAGTTCTGTTATGTCAGTCCTCGGGGCGTAGTGTGTAGGCTGCGTTTAGGCTTCTCGCTAACGCGAATCGACGTAACCCGACGCACCTGCATTGCAGTGGTTCTCCAATGCTGAAGACGGGAATGCAACCACAGCCAGGTAGCGATCGGAGCCGGTCGCTAGTTTTTGAAAGAGTGTAGGTGAATAGGAGGGTGCCAAACTGTGTAGCTTTCTGAGACTCACTGAACCAGCGTAGCTTTCTGTCCTCTTGTCGTCTTCCGAAACACTAGAGGCCGGCGCCGATCGATTCCCGTTTAGGACTGTAGTCCTGTCTGTAGCGCCTGGAGCGCGACTGCAGTGATAGTGTGACGGCGCGTCGCGAAGTCTGGACGCAACCATAGTGGCGCATAATTCATCTTCCGATTCTGCGTAGACGTAGACATTACCCCCTTTCCCTGCACAAACTGCTCGGTATGGTATTGCCAGCCATCGACATTCCATCTATGGGAATCCTTTAGCTTGTTAATTCAATTTGGCCACTACGGTGACTACTACTTGACGATTATCATGAGAGTGGTGAGTCACGGGTTAAAGCTGGATAACCTGTACCTCACTGGGCAGCCCGCTTTCCTGTGGATGACTACCCACAATAACATCGAGACCGCTTTGCATCCTCTCAAATGTAGGGTCTTCAGGCCATGGCCTCTGAGCAGTCGCACTTTTACGTTATAACCTGGTCCATCGTGGGGCAAGGGAATCGTAAATTGCCGATCCGTCGTGCGCGCCAATGGGCGCGAGTCCCCTTAATTAGCACTTATGTCTGTTTTTAGTCATACTTTGTCTATTCTCGACCAATACCACCTAAAATCGTCATCACTAGCGGGTGCGACGTCGCACGCGACGCCTGCTGGCGCGGCGAATCACGGTTCTCTTGCCACTCCATCATCACCGGTAGATCTCGGTGGTGCAGCTGATAGCGCGGTGCGGGTTCGTGTTCTGCTTAAGGTTTTGTTTGAGATTTAGGTCTAGATTTCTGCGATTATTGTGAGAGCACGAACTGCAAAACGTTATTCTGTGATAGATATTTATTGATTCAAGTTTTCAGGCGCCATTCTTCCCACGTCGTGCCGTGGCTGCAAATCCACCAGCTGAGAATGTCATAAAGTGTCCAGAATGTCGTCAGTCGACTAGAGTGCCACCCGAAGGACTCCCAATCAACTATCGCCTGCAAGGTACATAAGCATATTAGAGCTTCCTCACAGTCCATAGAAGTTCTCGTTTGCTGCCTGAATTTAACGCTTTGGGAGAATCTACAGGGTCCGACATGAATATGCTGGCAAATGCCTAAAGAAGCATGTATGGTTTCTGTAAATATAACCCAATGTAAATAGGCCCCAAAGGTTACCATGGTACTGTTCAATTACTGTTTTTATGTCATCACATCACAACAACTTTGTCATCACGTTCATGTCAAACTCTGCATTACGGATGGTTCCCCTGTTACCAATAATTTTATTTTTGATTTTTTTTTCATTTTCAGAGCTCCTGTCGCATGTCACAGAAGTTAGTAATCAATCAAATGACCAATGTGACGCGGATGGTAGTCCATTGCCTAGATGTTTGGCCTGTGATGATGTCATTAGCAAAGGCGTATATCTCATGTGTCATACCTGCACCGGTGAAACCGTGGTATGTCAGTAACGAAGTTCCCTCACTTTTTTTGACCTATTTTCAAGTAAAAAAATAATAAGCAGCCATCACCATCATCGTAATTACCAACTACCCGTTCTCTTGTTCCAGCGTCAGCTTTGTTCAATGTGTTGCCTTCGAAATCACAACGGTCATGATATTGAAGAGAAAAGATTCCTTACGATGCACGATGTGACGGTGAGTTGAAATTGGCATTTCGCTATTAGTTTTCTTCTTTGCACCATTGTACTTGTTTACAAGATAACTGATTAACTACTATTCGAATTTACTCACGTAATATTCAAAGAAACCCCCACGATTGCATATGGTGGAAGTGGCGTTCAATAACGAAGCTATATTCTTTAAATGATCTCCAGTGAAAAGAAAAGAAAGCAAAAAAAATTATGGAGAACTCCCTAGGTGAGGGTGTAACAGCTCCCTGGACGAGTTTTCCGGAACTGTTGGTTTTGTGCTAGCAAAGGGGTACCCTGCCCTGGCTCACTAGTCGTTTGTTCGCGTTATCCAATCTGATACCATCCGACAGTAAAAAAAAAAAACTGTTAAAACTAATTTCGTGACAGGGAATAGCCTTAAGTTCCGGTGGGCGGGGCAACTAGGGAGGCCTCAAAACTGCCACTTATGAAGGCCGCAGCGCCTTTGTCTCGCTGTGATTCCGCAAAAGTAGGAAATCTTGGAGACTGAGGATTAGGCTCTTGTACAAATAAGGACACCTAGGATTTGCTTGTGCGCGGGGACTGTCTTCAAGAAGACCGGTGATAATATTGATATTGCGGACTAATGAGGTTTCACCTACTTCTTTGCTTTTTTTCACAATGTCGACATTATGAGCTACCGGTGGTCCACAACTTTTTGCGCTACCTTTGCGTTACTGCCGATGGTTTCTATACATTTAGTTTTTGTTTTCTGATGGGATCATCTCTGAGCTTTTGTAAAGATCAATATCGAACAGGAATTATCAAGAAAATGTTTTATGAGACATTTTTTACAAAAAAAAATCGAATTATCTCGCGTTTTGTGAGGATCAGCGTTCTGAGCCAAATGGAAAACATAGGTATCGATTAGTGTCGGTAGTTGTCGTTTTGATTGCCGTTTTTGGCGCTCATAGTCACTTTTGCTGTCCTTTTCGCTTGAGGCTGTAAGGCACAAAAACGCTGGCTCTCCAAAAAAGTGGGTCGCAAAGTATTAACCAACCTAACATTTCTAAAGTTTTCGTTCCTACACAACATTTCCTACCTTGGAAAACTGCACTGGTAGCTGCGCATGTGATTGCAGCTGGTTTTCTGGAGTTATACAATGTGTTATTTCGAACTGCACACCAACTTGAGTTATTTGGGCCAGCAGTACTTTGTTCCTTCCGCAGAACTTTTTTCGCAGCGATTTTCATTGTGTTGAACCTTTCGCATCTCATTGTGTGCAGCATACGTTCTCCTCCAGGCCGCTAGAGACGTAGTTTCGGAAGCAACTGGACTTGGGTACCAGTATGTTGACCTGGCAATCAACGAACTCACTACGGCAACCGAATCGACTAGAGATTTGATTCAAACGGTGGGTATTGTTTATCATTTATTTATTTATCTATTTGTTTGTTTTTTTATTTATTCGGTAGGCGTGCAGTAGCTCACGAAAAAAAGATTACAAACAGAACTGAAAATCGGTGATGTTTCTGTCCGCCATACAACAAATTTTGAACAAAACCACCTACCGATTTTTAAAGTCATATAGTTCAACAAAAATACATTTCAACATATAGGCGAAATGAAACTCGTACAAACGCTGATAGTAAAAAAAAGGCAGTTTGGCTCAGGTGGCGGCATTTTGCTCTGTTGCTGGTTCCTTTTGCTAGTCTCTGCTCTCTGACACGTCTCACCTTGTTGAAAGCTGTACTCTTGTCAAGTATGCGTTACAAGGGTTAACAGGTCTTCGCAAGAGACGTCAACTATGATTGATGGAGACCAGAAAAAAATGCCCCCACCAAGCCGAACTGTGCCCTAAAAACCCTAATTATTACTGTTGTTATGATTGCTGCCGGACTGATCTTGTTCTGAATTTGAGTTCTTCCTCAAATTACTACTTTCAGAGAGCGCAGAGTTTGCTGGTCGAGTTCGAAGCTATCGCTAGTGGAATCCAATTCGAGATGCTCTCAAGTAATGACGATCTGGACAACAAAGTTGCGACTGCTAAAGGAATCAGCAGCAAGCTGGAACTGGTAAAAAATAAAGTCGTATGCTGTTGAGTATATATTGTTATGTACTTTTCTATTTCTTATTTAAAGTTGCCTCGCATCATCAAAGGACTAGCTGAAGAGTTTCACAATAGGATTGCCGCTCAGGTGGATGAATTCGTGAATGTGACGCAGAGATTTATCCGCGACGGCGACAGGAACTTGGATACGGAGCAGCTGAATACGCAGGTAGATACGGTAAGTTGTAAAAGAATTTGTCTACGGCAGTGTTCAGACTTCACGTTGACGCGTGTCGCGCACGTCGCTCAGAAGGTAATCTGTTGGCACCGACGTCTTGCGTTTCAGAGAGTATAGGATACCAAGAGGGTGGACGCCGCATGCACACCGTCTGCTACCCTCCTATTCTTCTGTACTCTATCAGAGCACCAGCGGCCAATGCCAATCGGTACCAGTCTGTGTGACTAGGGAACACGCATCCTCATATTAGCTCATTCTCTCTTAAAATACAAGCGGCAGCGCTAACTGACTCCTATCTCCGGCTACGGTCGCCTCTATAGCTTAAGAACGCTGTTGCAGTTGCAGCGCGTCGACGCGCGTTACAGCGCGTCATCGCAAAGTCTGAACGCTGCCTACTCGAACTGCTAGTTGTAATGTGTAATTAACACAAATCGACTCCCAAATCACTGCACAAGATCAAAAGTCTCAGAAGAAACTTAAGAGTCCCTACTATGTTTCAGATACTTTTGCGCCTAGCACCATTCTTCAGCGACCTTGAAACGTCTAGTTTTTTTTTCAATTTTATTTTGTATGCTCCGATGCCTGGTACCTTTTCAGGTCGCTCTGAATAGTGCTAGCTTTTGTATTTTTCTTGAGACTTTTGAATTCTTCAGCATTAACATTTTGGGAACCTGTTTGTGTTATTTACGGCGCGATTCGGCGACGGGGAGGGAGGGGGCATTTTGACTTTCGCTGCTTCACTGGCTCCGATTTGCAAGTCTAACACTGGTGAAACCTGTGAACTAATATCAGGCTGAAACCTCTCGACTGTTGTAATCTCATGAAATAGTTCTCTGAATGACTCTGCACGTCGATGGGAAGTAGCAAAAGTGCAAAGTACACCCCCCCCCCACGTCGCCGATATTCTTCTTATTTACAACGTTCAGATATTCATAAGGCCCGGTTACAGTATGACATTAAGATGCTCATTATGACTTCTTGTAGAACAGTCCAAGTCAGAACGATACCAGTTGCTCCGGGACATCTGTTACACTACGTCTACGTAAGCTTGATTTTGAAGACGAGAGACGATCTGCTGCAAGGTTAGTTTCGCACATTTGCTGCTTACTTTCCTTTTTTGTTGTGGCGGATCCACTACTGTTAGAGGCAGCCAAGTGTTCAGAAATGATGATTTGTGCACCTCAAACCTTAATGACAAAAGGATGAGTGGCATAAGTGAAGAAAACTCGCCCGAAAGTACCAAATAGAACCTCATGGTGAACCGCGCTTTTACTTGCATGATGCGAAGAAAGGGCGTGGTCGGACGAGTTCTCAGTTGTTAGGATCAGCTTTTCTTTCTTCTCCCTTATCGCCTCACTCACCGTCACCATTCGAAAAGGAGAGCTGGTAGCAGAGCAATCGCACCATCACGCAGTTAAAATGAAAATTTGGCGTCGCCGTAGCTAGTGGGTGGAGCCATGGTTCCGTCGCGAGCGGACGGCATTTTCCTCGTGCATTATTGAGCTGCGGGAGTAGTGCATTCCCCAAGGTTCTGAAGAGAACTACCAGTCCACAGAAGGCATCTGGGCATCAAATGAACGCGGGACGTGCCTTTTGTTCAACTATGATTGTTTTGTGTTTTAGTAGTTTAGCAGACTATCAATCTTCTCTAGGAAGTGTGCGTTGCTGCAGCGCAGGGTACGACAGCATCGCTTGGCACAGCAGCTGGGTCAAAATCTGCGAAGACGTGTGGCAAGTAGAGTACAGGAGGAAGGAATACAAGAAAATTATGTCCCCGACCAAAGGGCTCAAGAATCCGAACGTCGCGACGTGAGTTTGAAGTCTTAGGTTTTTTCCTTTATTACAATATTTTCAGTTTTCGTGCTATATGAAAGTAAGATAAGGGGGTATGTGACAAGACAATCGTAATGTGCTCATATTCAAGCAACTAGGCAAGACGACTCGTCTGCCAGGTGGAAGGGGCTGCTGATGGACGAGTTGTCCTGCCTGAGAATTTGCCGCACGAAACGTGCGTGCGACGTTGCCACATATTACGATTGTCTTATCCCTGTCAGGAGATTGATTTAGCCCGACACCAAGATTGTTAAGAAGTCTTTATTCGGCTGACGTTTCGGCGTCGTCGCCGTCTTCAGAGCCTGGAAAGCCGGAAGACATTTTCGAAACTACTCATCCAACACTATTTCAACCTACAGGAAAAGTTCAAAAGGGGGTTGTAAGCTACTGTGATGATGTCATGGGAACAATAAAAAACTAACCTTTAGGAAGTCGACCAATGAGGTCCACCTGTTACCCCGTTCTACTGGTAAAGCGGCTTAAATAGGTAGGCCTCCAGGTCACTTTCCTGAGGGACCTCCCGAGGGTTGATCGTGTAGATCAAACTCCTCCAAAGGTCACTCCACTTGGACACTACCGTCTTATCCCTCTTCCAAGGTGAGGTAGCGCTGCGGCTGGGGGCGCATTTCAGTGATCGTACCCATGCAACCTATTCCTGAGCAGTGGAGCGGCCACGGAAAGAAGAAGCTCTCTCAATCTTGTGGCTACTTGAATTGATCGAAGCGGGACTATTCACCTTTACCCTTTTGCATTTAAGCGTCTCCGCGAGGAGCGTCGTGTCAGTTTTCTCATGGGCGATGAGCGTAATGAAGTGCGCCGTTTACGAAAACTGAGACTGCATGCACTGGCCACGGAACCTACTAATTCTGCCTCAAGATCTGCTTCGCAAGCGGTGAGGATTGATTCTTTTCTTCGTTATTTCTATTTCTGTTTTTTTTTGTGCGTGGCCCCACATATTCTGCCCGAATTTGTTGATTTTCTGTTAGTACAGGTATTACATCGGAGCAGAATGGAAATATCCCTGGTTTCTCTGACCTAAACCTTTGTGCAGCATATCGCAAGCTGTTTCAGCGTGTTCTTGTCGCAATGCTTCAAATTTTCTGGCACTGTTTGTGTTCATCGTTCACCTGCTAGAGGTAGTGCAATGGCAAATGGCACGCTTATCAAGCGCGCGGTCTGGGGTTGAAATACCGGACCACCTCGGCTATGCCCACCAAGCCTTCTTCGGAGGGTAACTTGGTACCAGATTTGTCTTGGAAGATAAGAGCACTGTGTTGCACATCAGCTACCCCACCCCACCCTCCCCCCATATGATCCGTCCGGCACATAAGATAAGAAGGGATCCTGACTGATCAGGATCCCTTCTTACCTTATGCCCTTCGGGGTTGTCAGGTGGAATATTTTTCGAAGTGGGCTACCCACTGGACTGTTGTCTTTGAGGCCCAAGTGTGTCTCAAAGTTCAGATTTACGCTTTTTTTGAAAAAACCGTTTTTGCATGATGTAGGGGCCATGCATGGAGTACCAAACTGATGTTCATTTTTCCTGAGTTGCTCTGGGAATACCAAAAAATGATTGAAGAGGAATCCAAACTGGAAACTGATTGAGCCACTATGCGCTGTAAATCACTTGTAACGTTGACCAGTTGCTGAGAGGAGGGTCCTCATGAAGGGACTATTGGAATAGAGTTCGAGAAATCGTTTGCAAGTGGGACTTACTTGTGTCATCTGCTCAAGAGTGGATGGTTCCTTAAAACAGTTTCTTCAAAGATTGGAGCTGCATGTATCGGCATGGATCGGATACCCTGGTGGGTAAAGTGGAGGATTCTAGTTCGGGCAGTGACGGTGGGGTTGGGGGTTCGGTTCCCGCAGACAGTGCCCTTTTGCATTTTTCAGGTTTTGCTGTTGTCGCGACCGTTTATGTCCGCGCACGAATATAATTCGGGTGTTTACCATTTATGGGTCCTTCTAACAAGATCTTCGCTGAAAGTTGACATTTATAAGTAAATGCCCTGATCACGAATATGGACACTTTCTCCTATTCCATCCTTCTTCCAGTGAATCATTATGTTCATCACAAAAGGAACCTTCTGTGCTATTCTAGCTCCAAAACGCCTTCGTAGCCCTGCTCTGCTCTTTTGCCCATACCTAGCGTTTGTAGACTAATTGCTGTTTGGTTCATGCATAGAAGGCCTTTGGTTCGCTGTTCAGGAAGAGGTCAAGAGAAGTCAAAGTGTCGAAATTGTCGGAGAAGCTCCACCTGCTGTAGTCGATCTGGAGCAGAGAGCTGAACGTGTAAGGCTTTTTTTCTGCATTTTTTTTGATTTTGGAATTTGCAGAAACTAGTTCTCTCACTTGTTTTGCTATCAGTCTCGTATTCTTATGTCGTTATTGTAGTTGATTATTTCTCCTCAACGTCGACGAAATAGGAATGCAGGGAATAACGCTGCCGCAGAACAGGACGTCTACGTTGAACAGGTAGCTCTTTTATGGGTTATGTTCATTTTATGTGCCCTCCCAGTCCACTGTTTTGAAATTCTAAGCTTGAGGAGTGAACGATTGCCTCGGGGAACTCAGTGCGATATTATTTCCTCTCTGAGTAGAAAATTTTCGATGCTTCTTCATGTTTCTACATGAAGAAGCATCGAAAATTTTCATTGCAGGAAAAAAAACTTCAGAGATCCAAGACAATCCAAAAGTGTTTGCGAATTCCGTTTTCCATTTTTCCAAAAATTCCATTTTTATTCTTTCGAGTATCTCTATGCTTATCACCTTTCTCAGAGATACAAAATAATGTAAGGTTCCTACAGTAAGGTTCCTACAGTTGTGTGTTGTAGCTGTCCTACCGCAGGGGTGCTCGAG